AACGATACCTGTTGTTGGTATCGAGCCTAGTATCAGGTACTAGATTTAGTATCAGGTATCAACTCACATGCCATGTCGCATGCATGCATGCAGCTAGCAACACAGCCATGTCACATGCATGCATGTAGCTAGCAACACAGCCACGAGTAATCAGTAGAACGCTATGTGAGAAGAAGCCGGTGGTGGGGGCCCTAGCGACATGGGTGGTGGGGGCCTAGCGATGTGGAAGGGTATCCCGTTCCCACGGGATCCCGTGGTCTAGCTGTCATAAAAAAAAACTCCAGGATCACAGATCCGAGCAAACCGACAAAAACTAAACCAATTCAGCACAGATCTAGACCCATCGAAATCGAGAGAGAAGAGGGAGTGAAGGAAGGGAAAGGAAAGAAAAAACAATGGGAAGGGCGACGCCGCCGCGTTTGCGGCGGTGTGGAGCACGGCGCACTAGGGGCGGTGTGGAGCACGCCGCGCTCGCGGGTGGGGACGAGAGGGAGAGAGTCGCGCGAGTGAGAGGGAGACAACGAGAGAGATCGACTTGCAAGGGGATAAGGACGGGTGGAGATGCAGAGTACGAGAGAAGAAACCTTATTTCCTCACGTCACGAGTCATAGTGGGGCCCGCTGGCTCAGCTCCGGCTCGGCTCGATTCCCGTGGGTGTCGGTTTTTTTAAAAGAACCGACACAAAATAAAATAGGTGTCGGTTTTTATTTAGAACCAACACCTATAATTACTGAAAGGTGCCGTTTTTTGCGATTTCAACCTGTGGAGATGAGAAAAGGCTTATAGGTGCTGGTTTTAGAACTACCGGCACCAATAATGGCGACACCTATTTGATGTTTTGTACTAGTGTGAGCTGATTCCCAGCGGTGGTACTAGTTTGCCATGTACATCTGCTAGACCCAGATTTCGGTCCAAGGTATAGTAGATTGGAACGGATAGTTTTATTCATGCTTTCATTGACTTAATTATGAAAAACGAAGCTTTTAAAATCGCAACCAAAGGTGTTCTATTTCATAACGGGCAACATAGTATATATATAATTTATAATTTCGGTCAACATTGAAATGGCTCTTTTGTGTTGTCTCTCTTTTTTCTTTTTCTTGAATACACAAGTGAATTGCTTATCATTTCGTTATAAAGGGAGTGAAAAACAGGAACGGGGATGGGAGCAGCGTGCACATACCCTCACTCAACCACACACAAGCCTTAGCCTTTACATGAAAAACAACACAAAGTGAAAACTCACATAAGTGAGGCTTGCAACCTATCTCAAGCAGAACTACAAATTTATGTTTGGCAATATCACATAACGTGAGCTAGGTTTTATGCGGGGTAGTTCTGAGAAAGCAAGTGTAGAAAAGTATGACCAAGCGCGTTGTATGTCCTGGAGTTGGATAACCAGCTGATTTTGATGTGCTTCATGATGTGGACATGCATCCTATCGAGGCTAGACGGGCATGGGGAATTTCGCCCTTTTTTGGTCTCCATAACAATGGCGTGACAGCGCCCGCACCCAATTTATACTTAATGTGAATTTGTTGTCACCATATATATCCCTCGTAATTTAATACATAATATATATTTGCTACACTGATTTCATATTTTTTTTCTTATATATATGTGATAAGATTAGAGATACAGAGTATCTTTTATGAAGATAGAGATGAACAGATAATGTTTGGTTTTCTAAAATTTAATTTTGTTAGCTTAATGGAAATATTTGATCAATCAAAATTTTCATAGCACCGAATATTTCTTTCTTGGTTGGGTTAGACCTTACTGTCCCCAAAGAAACATACTACATACACATACACAATGTTGTCGAAACGACAACTGCGTACGTCGAAAGACGTGGTTACTCAACAGTGGTTGGAAAAGAAGTAAAGTGTATTAAATTGAGAATTTTTCTCGGGATCCTCCTATTACATGGCCCTAGGGGGCTATTTATAACTCCATTACAGGTCCTTACTACTAGGGTTTAGGTTATACAGGGGAATTTACATGGTTGCCCTCATGAAAGGGATATTTACATGGGTATACAGTGTAATTGAGGTATATAGGCTCTTAATGGGCCGTCTGGCGAACGCTGGCCCAATGGCAACTGGGCTTGAGAGGCTAGGATGGCCTCCTGGGTCTTCATGAGGCCGAACTTGCTATGGCGAAGCCACCCTCCTTCGTCCAACACTCTTCGCCTTACAGTCTTCACCCAATATGCCTCTGCCCTTGCGAAGTACCAGCGCGATTCCCCGCCCTTCGCCGTCTTCGTTTCATAGTCTTCGCCCCAACGAACTTGACGCCTCGGGCTTGAACCCTCACTGGTTGCATGGTTTCGGCAGGTTTGTTCGAAGGGTCTCATGCCATACCGCCAACACATAATATGAATATTTCTTTCTTAGTTGGGTTAGTGCTTGCTCTGCTTAACTAATCGTGCCAACATGGTGGTGAAAACAACATGAAAACTGGTCGCTACACTCTGCAGAAGTTTTACAATGCAGGCCAGTTATCTGAACTGGTGGCCAACTTAGCATAGCAATTTTCTGGAGTCCTTACAAAATTAGCCAGCTTGTCCCGATGACGACTAGAGCACATACATGCGTGGTAGAAGTGAAAAGGGTGGACTGACTATTGACATTAACAAGAGGACAAACATTGTTTTTATTTCGGCTTTAATTTTGATGTTGTTGGTACCTTATTCATGGCCGAGTGAAACAGCGATCACTACTAGAAACTCACCTAGCCCTGACAGCCAAAAAACCGTCAGCGGAATGCATAATCACGTCAGGAAAATACATCCTGACTTTGAAACTGTCAGGAAAATTCCGTTAGAACTATCATGAAAATTCTGTCAGAGCTAGCTAGCCAGCGAGAATATATATGCCGGCAGTAGCTAGCATGTATAATAACTACCAAGCTCGATAATCTGCCGTAACAAGTTCGAGGAAGAGATCAAGGTAGGATATCATACATATTCTCTGAATGGAAGGTATCAAGCATCCCAACGGAACAAGCGGACTAGGAACTACTATGCTTGACAAGTAGCTTCCACTAGCTGCCGATCGAATTGCAAAAGCTTCATGCGTGCTGAAAATTAGGATGATGAGGTGGAATTGCGAGAGGATAAGACAAGTGCAACTTGTGTAGTTTTAACCTATGCATTGGATATTGGAACCTACCAGGATCTATTGTGTAGTTTGTGGACCGGATAAAGAAAGAAGGTAGGGTAACAGCCAAGCTAGCTAGGTTGTTAGCATTTTTCAGCACAGACTGTTACAAACTCTGTTGGAGAATTTGAGATATCGAGAGGAAGAACAGAACGAAGAACAGAGGAAGAACATAGTATCTTGCGAGAGAACAAGAAGAGGGTTTTATTAGACTTGAGTTTTATGATTCAATTTGATACCCACTCCTTCTCTCTTGTGGTATTTATAGCATATACCGGTACAACTCAGAGTTAAGCCCACTCAGCTCCAGTTAGTCGCACGTTGCGCCTTGGAACACCCTTAGGCCCCTTCCACAGCATCACCTTGGTAGGATTGCTGTTGTCAAGTGGAGCTACAGTATGAGACGGTGTAACACAGACTACAGTGCGAACTCAAAAGGCTTCGTTGATCTGAAGCTCTTGACACAGCCGATCAATTGACCAGGGATCCCCTTCATGTAGATCTCCATGCTTTTCTTGTGATTATATTATAGAAAACCAGCACCCTAGCTTAATATGTTTTTTTTTGAGAAAAGGTTAATATGGTTTGGTTATACTTTACTCCGAATTGATATGTTCACTGGTGGACAAACCCTTTTTAGTCCCGGTTCACAACCCACCTATAGTCCCGGTTATGTAACCTGGATTACTAATTCGGGACTAAAAATACCCATTTTTAGTCCCGGTTGAAATAACCAGGACTAAAATAGGATCTTTAGTCCTGGTTGGAGTTACTAACCGTGACTAAAGATCTAGTCCCGATCAGAGTTACCAACCAGGACTAATGTTCTTTTTTTCTTTTTCTTTTACTGCTGCTTGCATGATTTCGAGCCCCACAAATCATTCATATTAACCACAAATCATTCCAACACCACAGATCATTCACAAAATCCCCAAATACATCAAGTTGCATTTTCTATCTCCAAATACATCACAAATCATTCACAAAATCACAAAATCATCCCCACAAATTCATTCACACATCACACATCACACAGATCAGAAAAAGAAATCACATCGCACAGATCAGCTGCACATATCAGAAAAAGAAATCCACATCGCACAGATCGGCTGCACACATCGCACAGATCAGGAAAAAACCACATCGCAGAGATCGGGTGCCGGTCGTCTGCCGCCTCGCCAGCCTCCGGCCCGGCCGCCTCGCGCTCCGCCGCCGCCTAGGAAGCGTCGTCGCCCGCCGCCCGCCGCCTCGGCGGCTGGTGCCTGCCCGCTGCCGCCTCGGGCTCCGCCCCCCGCTCGGGGAGCTCCACCGCCTCGCTGGCCGCCTGCTCGGCCGCCCGCCGCTGGCCTCACTGGCCGCCCGCCTCGCCTGCCCGGCCGCCCGCCGCTCCGCGCCCTCCCTACTGCCGCGTGCCGCCCGGCCTCACGTGGTAGGAGGAGGAGGAGGAAGAGAAGAGAAGGTTTAGGAATGGGAGTGGAGAAGGGATTAATGAGAGGGGAGGGGAAAGAAAGGGGGAGAGACCGAGGCGGCCGGGTGGGGTAGTGGCGCCAGCTCGGTTGATTTTTTTTTGTCCCGGTTGGTATAAACAACCGAGACTAAAGATCCATCTTTAGTCCCTGTTGTTTATACTAACCGGGACTAAAAAAGAATTGGGGTCTAACTCGGTTCGATAACTTTTTGAACCAGGACTAAAAATGATCTTTAGTCCCGGTTGGTGTTACCAAACGGGGCTAAAGATCAAAAATTTTTTAACCGGGACTAAATCTTTAGTCCCGGTTCCTATTCGAACCGGGACTATTGTGGATTTTGGGCGACTGAGCAAAGATGGTTTCTCCATCAGTGGTTGGTAGTAATGAAACAATTTGTGATATATTTCGAGTGTTAACCTGAACTCTTCTGGCCCGATTCCAATTGAAATTATGCAATTTAACGAAATAAGCTGAAATAATGCAAATTTCCATGATTTTGTTATGTACTTAGTACTGTTGCAAATTACAGGTGTAAGAGGGACGAGGTTTAATTTTACATCCGTAGCAAATTAATGGGTGGCTGGTGACCTCTTCCTATATTTAGCTGACAGCAACTCAATTGAGAGTTTCAGACATCAGTCTAAGCAGCAACCACACACATAGAACTTGCTAGTGTACGTACAATGACGGAACAACCCAAGAGATATTGCTTTCGGATCATACTAGCCGACAATGTCGGCTATATACGACCCTTCGGGATGAAAGGTATCAGGCACTGCTCAAAGGCCAAAATTATAAGTTCAATAATGCCTTCATAAATCCGTGGATCTTGAACAATTGAATGCAGGATTGTGGCAAATAAATTCTGATGTACTACACATGAGGAGCTATACTGATCTAAATGAACAGCTTGAGGATTGATATGGACTGGTTCACTACGGGATTAAGGGGATTAAGGTTGTGTTCACCATCAAGGGTTGGAAACCCTGTCTCGATTGCATGCAAATTGAAACGGTGGATTACCGCATGAATAATTAAGTATTAAAAAATTGAAAATGGATTAATATAATTTTCTATAGCAACTTTTCTATATACTTCTTTCAGAAAAAAATAGTAGTTCGAGAAGCACGCTTGCATCTAGAAATTGAGAAGATGGAGTAGCACTACTACATAATGGGTTTTCTCTGACGGCTGACACCACTGCCAGTAACCAAAGGTTAGTGAAAATATAAACTTTTCGCTGTCGGGTGCCTCCCCGTCTGTGAAATTCATTTTTCACAAGTGGCCCGCTTACATTGGCCATCAATGAAAAAGAAACTTCACTGGTGGAGAAATTATGCTGATAGCCTGTAATAAAGATTTTTGGGAAATAAATTACACCGAAACTGTCCAAATTCATATTCCCATTTCATAATCTCCCCCAAAATTCCAAATCCACATTCCTGAAAAAAAAAAGACACACAAAAATCCCCAATCCCAAATAACAAAAGTCATCATCGTCGTCCCCTGCCCATCGTCGTTGTCACAGACTCGCCGAAGCCATCGTCGTCATCCTAAGCTCCGCTGAAGGAAGGTCCACCTCGCCCAAGTTCGATCAAAACCCTTGCCACATTAGCCGTCTCTGTCCTGCCCTCATTGTGGCCGTTGTCATCGCCCTCCGAAGCCCAAGCCTGAGCTGAAGCCGCGTGAACGACCACCACAGCCGCTGCCATCACTGCTCGCACCCTCCCTACGCCGAATCTGCTGTCCACACGCTGCTGGCCGCACTCCTCTGACGATCGGATCCACGGCCTGCACCCCTCCAACGGCGGATCCGAAGGAGGCAGTGCATCGGGACGGAGGCTCAGGGGCAGCGAAGGTTGCCCGGGAGGAGCGAAGCAGCCTGCGTCTGTGCGTGGTGGATGGCGGGGACGAAGGTGCGGGCGGTGGTGGTGCGAGCCATGAGGTCGGCGTCGGGGTTGGTGAAGGGCCTGACGTCGGAGGCGCGGCGAGGTTTGGGTCGGATCGGTGAGGTAGGAGATGAGGCCATCAGGGAGGTAGAGGTAGGTCTTGGACTTGGTCCACAACGGTTAGGGTTTGGGGCGATAGGGTTTCCGCCATGATTGCGGGTGGGAAGGAATCGGTGGAATGGGAATAGTGGACTGGTAGTGGTGGTGGTGTTGGATTGGAATGAAATGGACAAAATTTTTTATATAGCTATATGTCTTTTTGTAGTTGACCCCTTAACAGCCACCAGCGGCCACTGAAGAGGTCCACTTGCAAAAAAAAAAAAACCTTTATTTTTGTAAGCGGACCTCTTAATTGAGAGTTAGTTGATGTCCGGAATACCTCGAATGTACTTTTACAAGCATGTGTTTATTAAACCCATATGGGCAAACTATAAAGTTACTGTGAAGTAAATTTCCGCCGCTAATTCACTGTATGATCTACATCTGGCATTGGCTACCATGGCGACTACGACCTTCAGCTTTAATTTAACAGCCTCGATTATTGATGCGTACAACTGGATTGTACGCAGGTATTAGGTATGGGCAAAGTCATTTGATTAACCTGATTAATTACATGGATGCACAGTACCACACACGTTTCATGCAACTACTCCAGATTCTTCATATGGGACCTTAATTTGGGGGATCCTAGCTAGTGCATACGCGAAAACAATTTAGCTGGCGCTAGGGCCCTGTCCCTGCATGCCCCTTTCTTTTTTTTTTCTTTTTTTGCAATTTTTTTCGACGCGTTTTCTTTCTTTTTTTCCGTTTCTTCTCAATTTTTTTATTCAATCTTTCACATACCTCCTTACAAATGTATAATTGATAGTTTTTAATTTTGACTTGAAAATTTTTAAATTTGAGTTGAAAGTTTTAAAATTTTTAGTTGAAAATTTACAAGTTTGACTTGAAAGTTTTCAAATTTGGGTTGAAAGTTTTCAAATCTGGATTCAATGTTTTAAATTTGAGTTGAAAGTTTTTCAAATTTAAGATGAAAAGTTGAAAGTTTACAAAATTTGACTTCAAAAAAATTCAAATTTCGAGTTGAAAGTTTTCAAATCTCGAGTTAAAAGATTTCAAATCTGAGCTGAAAGTTTTCAAAATTTATCTTACAAATTTAAATTTTGAGTTGAAAATTTTCAAAGTTTGAGTCTAAGTTTTAAAATCTCGAGTTGAAAGTTTTCAAATCTAAGTAGAAAGTTGTCAAATCTCAAGTTGAAAGTTTTTAAATCACGAGCTGAAAGTTTTTAAGTCTCGAGTTAAAAGTTTTCAAAATTTATCTTGCAAATTTAAATTTCGAGTTGAAATTTTTTTTCAAAATTTATCTTGCAAATTTAAATTTCGAGTTGAAATATTTCAAAGTTTGAGTTCAAATCTTAGGTTGAAAGTTTTTCAAATTTAACTTGAAATTTTTAAGAGTCTAGGCCAATAAGCCAATAGGACTGGTGGTTGCCTAGTAGACTTAATAATTTTTTTATCTACTTCATTTCCAGTAATTTAGGTGGTGTATGTGTCTATCGTAGTACTGTACTCCCTAATTAATGTCATCCCTTCATTTCCAGTAATTTAGGTGGTGTTTGAATCTCCTGAAGAAGAAGATTAAGTGTTTTACGCAAAACGATGTGATAATAACATATGATTAATTGAATTTTAATTATTATAAACTTGAAAAATAGATTAATCTGACATTTTACAACAACTTTTATATAAAAAGTTTTTGTATGAAACACACCGTTTAGCAGTTTGAAAAGCGTGCCACGAATATCTAAAAGTTTATCCTCTCTTTCTAGAGTGTTGATCATACAAAGGATTATCATTTCTGGTTTTCCATCTCGTGAGGTACTTGCAGATATGGCGTATTTTTCAAGTCTTTTTCCTCACATCTCGTATAAAGGAATCGAACCCAACTCTTTCACTCGGCGGGCGTTGGGTATAGCTGAAAGCTGTTCAGTACTCGCTCCGTACCAAATAAGTTGATTTTCCCCCGTCCTGTATATACCAATATAAAAAACTAGAATATCCAACTTTATTAAAATCCCAATACAATTATTTTTCTCTTTATCTATTCCCGATGTATTTATCACATACTTTCGCAAACTCCAATATATGTGAAAACTGTATTTTTCCAAGCTTTACACCATTTTTAAAGAAAACACTGAGATGAATTCCCAACGAACACAATATATAAATCTATTTGCATTATAAAGTAGGTAAAAGCTGTGATGAGGACATGCTTCTTGATCTTGGGCCGTTGACTTCAGATGCATTCTACGTACTGGAGCTCTGTGCTGTTGCAAGTTGTAGTGTGGCAGAGAACTCCGTTCCCTCGGTCAAGGCTGAAACGCCATCGCCCCACCCAACCAAATAAAGGATTGGGAAAGTTTTCCCTAGCTTCCGTGGAAAATACATACTCCCTCCATATTTTAATGTATGATGCCATTGACTTTTCGACTAACGTTTGATCATTCATTTTATTCAAAATTTTTGTACAAATATAAAAATATTTATGTCATGCTTAAAGAACATTGGATGACGAATCAAGTCACAATAAAATAAATGATAATTACATAAATTTCTTTAAATAAGACGAATGGTCAAACGTTGGACAAAAAATCAACGGCGTCATACATTAAAATACGGAGGTAGTACTTTGTGAACTATTGAATGACGTCTGTTTGGAAAGAGTAATACTCTCCCCGTCCATATCAAAATATAGTAATATAGGATAGGATTAGACGTGCCACTGTCTATATTCGTAGAATATCAGGTCCTAAGTTATTATATTTTATAACAGAGCTAGTACTTAATTGGAGGTTTGGAACACAACTACTCGAGAATCTAACTAGATTTGTTAATTTGAGCCAAAATGTTATTTCACATTAAGAAAAAAAAACTCACTCAGCGATAGGTGACAACAAGAGAGCGAGATGCGTTCGCGAGAAGCGATGCAGTTGTTAAGTGTGGAAAGAGTGGAATGAAGTAAATGCAGCCGTTAGCATATTAGTTTCAATCACACGCACTGCTACCAAACCACTGGCATCATCACTAATTAATAATTGCAATAGTTAGGTTATGAAGACTTCAGAGTTAGAACTAGTCCAAGTCAATCTAAGATGTGCCAAGACCTCAGAGTTAGAACTAGTCCAAGTCAATCTAAGATGTGCAAAGTCTTAGATTATATGTTCAGTGCTGCATGAATGCCCGCAGTAGATGCTATATAGTAGCTGCAGCTAGTAGAGACGCAGTATTTCTCATTTCGCACAACAGAATACCAGCAAAGAATCCAAGATTATCCAGGCATCGCTCATGAAACCATTCATCCACAGAGCAGCTGCTTTGCTATGTCTCGCCGTAGCAACTGCGGTGTGTCTCTCCTCCGTCACAGCGATGTCCTGCCAGAGAAAATGCGGTGACATCGAAGTTCCTTTTCCATTCGGCATAGACGGTGATCAGCCTGGCTGTGCCAAGCCGGGCTTTGAGCTGAGCTGCGGCAACAACACGGAGAGTGGTGTACCGATTCTCCTCCGCAAAGTGCAGCCCCTTAGCAGGAGCGTGGAGGTGCTCGGCATCTCCTTGCCGAAAGGCCAGCTCCGGATGAGGATGCATATGTCCTCTCACTGCTACAACATGACCACTCGTGTCATGGACTGCGTCGACAACGGGTGGATGGACTTGACGGGGAGTCCCTTCACCTTCTCCGACAGCGCGAACAAGTTCACGGCCTTTGGGTGCCAAGTTCTTGCATATCTTGGGGCGGGCGAACAGAGGGACATAGGAAGCAACCTAAGAATTGGCTGCGCGGCCAGTTGTGGCAAGGATGATTCTGCCACTATCGGTGGTGGTAGATGCTCTGGGATAGGCTGCTGCCAGACGGCTATCCCAAAGGGGATAAAGTATTATAAGGCATGGTTTGATGACCGCTTCAACACGTCTTCCATGTACACATGGAACCGTTGTGCCTATGCAGCGCTCGTGGAGGAGTCCAGCTTCAATTTCTCCATGATTTACGATTCATCATCGAAGTTCAACAGCGATACCGTCTCTAGTCAGCCGCCGTTTGTGGTTGACTGGGTTATGGGAAATATATCATGCAAAGAAGCTCGTAAAAATCTAGGTACCTACCCATGCATCAGCAACAACAGCATTTGTTTGGACTCACAGAATGGACCGGGTTACATTTGCAACTGCAGAAAGGGGTTCCAGGGTAACCCTTACAATAAAGGTCTTGACAGCTGCCAAGGTGATTATTTACAACCAAAACTTTTGTTCCCAGAATACATACATAGTGCTTTTACTTCTTACAAATTTGTGCTAGCTAGTATAGTACGTGGTACATTTAGCAATGAAGTATACGTGTCTGCATATCGGTTTATTTAATTTGAGCTTAGTGCAAATTTATACTACGTACCTTGTACATGGATAGGGACAGATCCAGTAATAGAGGGGACTAAACATACTTGGGATAGTAGAAAAGTACACCAGGCTCTCGTGGTCCGAAGGGAGGACTTGGGGACAGGGGCGGTGGGTTTGAGGCCACGCGCACTGCCTCCACATTTGATTCGGCCCTGACCAGGGATACCAAATACTCCCTCCGTTACAAAATGTTGGCACCGTTGACTTTTTAGCACATGTTTGACCGTTCGTCTTATTCAAAAAAAATTTGTGAAATTGTAAAGCTATATGTGTACATGAAAGTATATTTAATAATGAATCAAATGATATGAAAAGAATAAATAATTGCTTTAATTTTTTTGAATAAGACGAATGGTCAAGCATGTACTAAAAAGTCAACGGTGTCAAACATTTTGAAACGGAGGGAGTACTAACTCTAGATCGCAATCGAGAATGAAATATCTTCATTCTTGGAAGTGTAAAGACTAATCAGAAAATAATTGACTTTACTTAGTCATCTGCAAAAGGTTGGATGCACAACTTGATAAAAAGGGATCAACTTGGAGAGTCCATGTGATGGGCAACTTGGTAACTTAGTAACTTGTTCCACTCCATTTTTGTTAACATGATAATGAGTTCGTCTATCAAGCAATAGAATTTTATCTGGTTAAGAGGTATGTATATATATTCACCCAACTAATTTTACTAGTTGGATTGGCAAAGAAAAAGCTAATGTGGGTGGGTTGGCATATTCCAACTTATCTTTAGTGATGATTATAAGCCGTTATAGCATATTAGAGACCAATAATTTGTTGGTAAAAAAATTATATATGTGTCCATAGCAACTTAAAAGCTAATATAACAAAGAAACTATACATTCAGAAACTATTCAAAATCAACTCCAAAAATTTATATATGTGTCCTTGGCAATGGTTGATACGTTGTTGTGTAAATGATGAGGCCTCATGTGCCAGTTATAACCACCTGCACGCTTTGTGTTTGTTTAGTTCATCAACTATAGCTTACAACGGCTAATATTTGACATGAACCAAGTTTCTTGTGGGTTAAATTGCAATTGTCACCCTAAATCCTAATTGACTGGGATGAACCAAATTAAGAATATGCAATCCAATGCATTGCCATTTAGTGCATCATGATGTTTTTTTCTTAAGAATTGACATTATATATTGACATAAATTTGTAATCTGGATGTAGATATTAATGAGTGTGACGATCCTAAGAAGTACCCCTGCTATGGTAAATGCATTAACAAACTTGGAGGATTTGATTGTTTCTGCCCTGCGGGAATGAGAGGAAATGCATCTGTTGGACCATGCCGGAAAGATTTCCCACTGGGAATTGGTAAATATTCAAATCTACTACATAATTCTTGTATAAATTAGATGTACTTTAATGTTCAAATAAAAAGTATTTGGCATCCTTAAATTCTTTTAAGGACAAAGTCCAAATATCCCCCTAATATTTGGATCGAAGTCCATCTATGACCCTAAACATAAAAACCGGACATTCAACCCTTTGAACTTTGCCATACTATCCAAATTGTTCCCTAAGGTGTTTTTGGACGGTGTTTTTTTTAATATATTTTGAAAGCTTAAACAAACAAGTAACAACTTTGAATAACTAATCTGACATATTTGCATATCATCAGTTCTAAGTCAACAATTTATCCATATATAGTGATGTCATACTATTATTACGTTGGTACTTGTTTATAAGTGAGAGCTAACAAAGAGTAAAAATAAAGATTTAAATTGAATTTTTTATATATATGTCCAATGTTTATTTCATGTGACAAACTCATCCAACTTATATACAAAACTGATAAAAACCACTATGCAAAACTGCCTTAGGGTGCTATATAAATGGTATTGTAAAGTTTAAGTGGTTCAATGCCTGGTTTCACAGTTCAGAGTACTAGAGGAACTTCCATCTAAAATTTAGGGGGTTATTTGGACTTTCTCCTTCTTTTAAAAGGTTCTTAAAAATGTTTGCTTGTGTAGAAAGTGTCATAGAATCTAATATTATAGAAGAACACATAAATCAGATTTGTTCTCTAATCCAGCAAACTGGAAGATAATCTATAGTGGCTGTTCCTGTAGTTCATCAGTTTGACATGTGAAAGAGGAATCAACTAATGTTACAGCTATTATTTGATTCAACTTATCCTTGATACTTTAGCTTACCATTGGATGTTCATTGAGGCAATAGACAAAACTAATATTGGTCTATATTTGTAGGTATTGCAATTGGTTTGGGTGTTGGTTTCGGAATTCTCCTACTTAGCTTGTCTGTGGTGTTTCTTATCCGTAAACAGAGAAGCGACATCCAAAGGCAACTACGGAAAAAATATTTTCAGAAAAACAAAGGCCTTCTACTAGAACAACTAATATCTTCTGACGAAAGAGCTAGCGATAGCACAAAAATTTTCTCCCTAGAAGAGCTTAAAGAGGCAACTAATAACTTTGACCCAACACGTGTTCTCGGTAGTGGAGGTCATGGTATGGTTTACAAAGGTATCTTATCTGATCAACGTGTGGTGGCGATAAAAAAACCAAACATCATCAGGGAAGAGGAGATTAGCCAGTTTATCAATGAGGTTGTAATTCTCTCACAAATAAATCATCGCCATATTGTCAAACTCTTTGGATGCTGTCTTGAAACTGAAGTCCCTCTATTAGTGTATGATTTTGTACCTAATGGTTCACTAAATCAAATTATTCATGCTGATAAAAGTAACAGACGTTTCTCATTGTCCTGGGATGATTGTTTGCGAATTGCTACAGAAGCAGCAGGTGCTTTATATTACCTCCACTCTGCAGCATCGGTATCAGTTCTACATCGTGATGTGAAATCATCTAATATACTCTTGGATTCAAACTACACCGCTAAAGTTTCAGATTTTGGAGCTTCAAGATTGATTCCGAATGACCAAACCCATGTTTTCACAAATATACAAGGGACATTTGGATATTTAGATCCTGAGTACTACCATACTGGGCATCTCAATGAGAAAAGTGATGTGTATAGTTTTGGTGTAGTTCTTTTAGAGCTGCTTCTAAGAAAGCAACCTATTTTTGACGATGGCACTGGCACAAAGAAAAATCTATCAATATATTTTCTTTCTGAGATAAAAGGAAAGCCTATTACAGAGATAGTTGCCCCTGAAGTTATTAAGGAAGCAATAGAGGATGAGATTAATATTTTTGCCTCAATTGCACAGGCATGCTTGAGGCTCCGAGGTGAAGAAAGGCCAACAATGAAGCAAGTGGAGATATCATTACAGTCTATAAGAAACAAAGTTTTGAGTTCAGGCAGCGCTAGTTCCGAAAGCAACCATGAGATAGAAACACCCTTATGTGAAAGTTACGTTGATCTGCATCAAACTATGGGTGTTGATATCAATGGCATTGCTAATTTAATATCTTCAAATTGCTATAGCTTAGAGCATGAATTTATGTTATCCGCTAGCTTTGGAAGGTAAATTGTGTTTGTCCCGTTGTTGAAATGTCGATAGATGTTCTTATAGTATCTTTGTGCATTTGCACAATCTATAAGCTTGTCATAAACAAAATGTTGAATATACATTTGTGATACATCATTAAAAACTTATGTCAATACACATCATGTGTTTTCTTTCTATGCTACATGCTGAACCTCCATTGAGTTTTGATGACAAATTTGATTATAATACCACAATTGTTTCATTAGTCACTTAATTTTTTGTAGTTCAGAATTAACATATTTGTTTAAATATATCATGCCTTTTTATACTTTATGTGTTATGTACCACATGATTTTACCTCTTATGTTATGGACACAAGATTCCTAGGTTTGTCCCAGAAACTATTGTATCGTACTTGGTAATCCTACTATTTTTTGCAATATTACATGCATTGTGTTCACATATAACACATATTGAGTTACTTGGTAATGTGATTCTGAACTTTTTCAATTGGATATTTGAGACTACTAAACCATTTTCCCAAGATTTCCATCCCTGTCATTATGAGTGTCACATTAAGCATGAAAAAAGTATTGAAGTTATAGTCAAAAGACATGACTAGTGGTCGTAATATGGAATATTTCCAACGAGATGATTCATTATTTTTCCATTTGCATATTTGTACAATCCCTTTTTATTGTCTAATATCTTTACACCAAGTTGTGATTGAGAGATCCAAAATCAGAGGAAAATATGGGATGTAACATTGGATTCACTACAATCAGCTCCCATCTTAATGGTTTACTTATGTGCCAATTCGAGTAAAATGGATACTTGCTGCAAACCCACATACCACTCTGAGCAGACTTGAAATTTACTTTTTGAATATTTCCTAACACCAATCTTGATCTCTATATTGAGAATACATTGCTTGAAGAAATATTTATCCGATAGCTAATAACACGTTTTCATGGGTGCTTCTTGACTCATTTCACTAAAGGAGAGGCCAGGAGGTGGGGTCAGGGGTTGGCTGAACCCCTGGTTTGGCCGAACCGCCTCTGGTGCCTCGCATCCTGGCCTTCCACATGGATGTCCCAGATTACTCCCCAATGGCTGTTACGCCCGGTTATCGCCCTGGCTAAAAGGAGGTATATATGCATCCACGCTTCAACACACACAAACTTGAGCCTAGAGTACAACTCACTTGTAGTTTTATTTTTAGTATGTTGGCTTAGTAGAGAGTGAGGGGAAGCTCCGGAAGGAGTGCCCCCAAATATCAAAGTTTCTCCGAGAAATTTTAGTATGTTGGCTTTGTTGCAATTTTCTATGATCGTATCAAATACCAACATCTAGATCATATCTTCACCTTGCATCGTGTAATATTGAGTCGATTACAATTTTGCTAATCTAGTTTTTGGTTTGTTTTATTCTAATAGACTAATAGAGTACTAGACGAAGAGGAGCAGAACATTGAAATCGTTTTGTCAATTTCAGTACAATGAATTCACACAATAAATTGTAGGAGCCAGAGCTAGAGTAATAATAGGAAAAATAATTCATTGTATTTTGAGTGGTTGGAATATCTTTGTTATGGGCTGTAGGTTTCTCACACCAATTGGATGAATTAGATCTAAAAATTAGAGGAGAGCATGATTGGATTGCACGCAATTCATTGTTCAAAAGGCACAATTGGTTGGATAGGAGTACAATGCTGCTAAGAATAATTGTTTTCTTTTTAAATAACCTATGGCTGAAAATTATGATCTTGAATGCTAAAGGATAATGCGATGTGGAGTTAAAATTTCCATTGAATTTTGTATTTTTTTAATTACAAAGAATTTCAATAAATCATTAGTTGGCGAGCCCGAGTGGCCGCCCAGGGCCACTAGGCGGTGGATCCACTAGTGGATACACATGGATATAATAGTTTTTGCCTTTAGGTTTGCTCCATGTAGAAAGATATCCATGTAGTTAGCTCCATTGTGTTCTAAAGTTAGCTAGGGACAGAGCTGCTATGTTCATTTTGCATGAGAGGGCTACAGAACAAGCCATAGGTCGAGTAGCATTTTGAGTACACCAAGATAGAGCTTAAAATCACGCTATTAGAATGTTTGGTCTAAAGATTATCCGAGGCCTTGCTGGGTTGGTACTGGGCTAGTTCCAAAGATAGTCGCCAACATTTATCTCATTGAGTTCCCAGTCTGTAGTTTTGAATAAACCATAGACAATATGTTTTTGATGCGTTTGAAGGTGTTTTATTTAAGTGAAGTTGAATACTTTTGAGAATGAAATTAAATGTTGATAATAAGAAAATTATATTGTTTCGAATGTGGAATTCCGCATTTGAAACATTATAATTTACTTGTTATTGTGCATCTGCCACTTGCAATTTGTTTTTCAACGTCCGGTTTCAACCAGACACAGACGAAAAAAAAAAATGGCCCACTTTATGTTGAAATGCTGGATGACAGTTAAGATGGGCTGCAGTTGCAATGTGTTTTTCAATATCCGGTTTCAACCCGAGACATTGACGGAAAAATAACAAATAGCCCACTTTGTGTTGAAATGCTGGAGGACAGTTAAGCTGGGCTGCACTGAGGGCGAATTATGCGGGCCAGGGCCGTCGATAGAGGGGTGCGACGGTGGCGATTGCACAGGGCCCCTCAATATTTGGGATTTTTTTTTAATATTTACAGAAATAATCTATCGACCAAAAAAATTGCAGAAATAGCCCCTGCCGCTCTAATGGTGGGCGGCAAGCTGACGTGGCAGACGGTGGGTCGACCGCGCCGTCTGCCGCCGTCGGCCAAAATTGCGATTAGGCCCTTGCCGCCCATACAGAGGGCGGCAAGGGGCTAATTGCAATTTTGGCCGCCCATAAAGAGCTTGCGGCCGTACTTTTTCATCTGGGTCCCTTGCCGCCCCAATAGAGGGCGGCAAGGGACCCAGTTGAAAAAAGTACGGCCAAAAGATTTTTCTATGTTATGTTAATAATAAATAAAGAAGTATTTATTGGTAAAACTTGTTAATATTGTTATAAAAATGTATTGAAGTTGGTTGTTGCGCAATTTCATATGTTAAGTGAGGTATTATTTTGTACCTTATTCGACGTATTAGTACTCGGATAATTTATATAGGCCTATCGCAGTCTGGGTCGTAGAAACATTATATGGACTTAAACAAGGAGAATTATGTAACATGAAGAAATAGTAGTACAATTTGAACCTGATACGACTATTTGCATTGCGGTTACATAGATGATATTAGATTCGAACTAGGAGGGAGGTAGTGCAATAGTTGAACACAACGACGATGTAGTAATGGGACAAGGAAGCATGACAGTAGAAATTTCAATATGCCAAGTTGTCCGATAATAGCTAACCCCTACGTGAGGATCCCTCTCCTCTCTCAAACCGCGCTTTAGTAACCCTGTATTGCTCTGGTAGTTCAAGCTGCACAACACGGCTAGGTGGAGTTAGAATCCTTCTGGTGTCTATCCATTCTCTGTATTGACATCTCCTTGGTGGTTCCTGGGAGGAAAGAATAGATGTAAAGCAAGCAAAGTTAGTAAATGTTGTGAGAAAATAAGGATTCATGTAATCAAAATATTCTTACCATGAAATCGTCGTCAAGAATATTTGGACAAACAAAGAACCTTCGACCCAATGTTGTAGGATTTATGGAACGAAGAACCTGACAACGATCACCACACCTGCATCTTGGACGGGCTTCCCATGGAGGGAGTGCCGTAGTTAGCACCCGCCAGTCGCTCTGTTGTTCACGACATTGTCGTTCATAAGCCGCTTTTCTCTGTAAGTATTGCTCAGTACTTTCGGATGCGAAATACCAGCGACCTTCTTGTAAACAAGTGGTTAGGTCGAGAATGGGATTTTCTATATTGACCCACTCAATGTATGCGCAAGCCGTAGTGCGGGTCTGCCGAATAGAGTAGTGTTACGAAGAATAAAGCGATTGCCCATACGGAATGAATAAGCATATGCAGATAATAAAATACCTCACGGTCATAGATAGGGCACCTAAAAAAGCGCCTTCCTCGAATATCAGGATTCCTCGAAGCCATTAGTTGGCATCGATCACCGCATAGGCAGAGAGGACGCTGGCACCAAGGTGGTAGTAGGTATACACAAGGATCGCTACACCAGTTTGGATCCTCAACACCCCGGCGTCTAGCCATTGACGAAAGCCGGTCGGATTTGTAATGAAGCAAGTGGGGAAGAGAGTACTGAATGTGACTGAGTTCTGAAAGATTGTGAGGCCTCACTCGTTAAGGCGACTTATATAGGCGCAAAAAATCGAGTGATACCCCTGACATGCGAACGTGGTGGGGTATGGTGGGTACGCCTGATTGGCGCCGAAAGATACATGCATGATCGGCGCCGAAAGTTACATTGGTCGTATGCGCCAAATGGCGGGCAAATACTCGTATCACACGCGAATAAAGGAGGCTGCATCGGTGCGGCAGAAAGTAGTCGTGCATGCGCCGAAAGGTATCGTGCACATATAACAACAACGTAGTCATTACACAAGCATACAGTACTGGAAAGTGAAGCAAGTAAACAAACAGAAGACTGCTCTACTGGCCCTGCCCCGCGCTGCGACCACGCTTGGTCCTCCGGGCCTGTGCTCGCACGTGGTCCTGGGAGTAGGTGAAACGATCCGGTGGCACAGCACGGGTAGCATGAGTGTCCCGCGGAGGAGTGGCCTGCGTCTGGTCCTGTGTCTGCAACGGCGGTGCGCCTCCCAGCTGTGAGGGGCCAAAGACGTCCTCTGTCGAGCCTGAAGCGAAGTCGAAGTCAGTGATGTCGAAGAGCAAGGTGGAAGGCAGCAAGCGGTCCGACGAGGTCCCAGCATGGTCCAGTGGTGGACCCTGACTCGACGTGCCGGCTGCTTGTGACGAAGTCCCAGTGTACTGCCAGAACTGCGCTGAGTGCGAGGTCGACACAGCTGCCTGAGACGCTGACCCTGCAGCCTGGGAGAAGTGGGCGGCCTGCGTCATAGCGAACTGGGCAAAACCTACACATCGACAACGGGACCCTTCTAAGCTAAGACATAAAATGTATGTAAATTGATTGTCGAAGTAATGTTGTTTTTTTAAGTACCTGTGGGGGGCACAACAGAAGGCCTAGCCGAGGAAGGCGGGGTGCTGAACGGTGCACGAAACCCTGAAGCAATCG